ACCACTCTTTGCCTGATGAAGGTCGCAAGACCCGAAACCCGTGTAGCAAAAATATGGAAAATAAAGTATAATATATATTTTATAATACACGTTAAAACCAGAAACGTTTTCGGTTTCTCTCACTTCTTTAATATAAATATATATATATATATATATATATATATATATATATATATATATATATATTATATATTTACAAATTCATGAATCATTCACACAAAAACAAATGCAGAGGTTAATGATTTAATTGGCGAGAAATCCATCATCGCAAACAATTCAAATAATACACAAAAACCTCCGAATCCGTTATGAATGAAATGATCCTTGTTTCCATAAATTTCTGCCTTATTAGTTCTTATTTTTACTACAAGCTTTCGTCTGTTTCTACAGACATCTTCAGGTATAGAATAGATGTTGTTCTTGTTTTTTTCTCTTAGAAATAATAAGAGGAAGTTTTTGTATATTATTTGAATTGTTTGCGACGATGGATTTCTCGCCAATTAAATCATTAACCTTTGCATTTGTTTTCATGAATATATATATATGTGTGTGTGTGTGTGTGTGCATTTAAGTAGAGGGTTCGCTTTTTTTAATCAGTATTTATTTAGTCTATCGGACTGCTTACTCTTACTCTTATACTTAATAAAAAAACTGTGCGCCCCGGCAGGATTCGAACCTGCAAAGGAGGACGAACGGCAGAGTAGACGTTGTTAAAATTACGGTGGATCAAATCTATACGGCAATCCACTAAAAATAACGTTTGAAGTAATAAAAATACGTCGGATTTAAAATTTTTAAAAATACCATTAATTCTTTAGAAATTGATTTATATTAAAATGGCGAGCAATTAAAACGATACGCTTGACTTTAAAATTAGGTTTACATTATAAATCAAATCCCGAGATATGTTTATATAAGTGGGATATCATTTTATTTAACACCGGATTTTGTTAGTTAATGTGTATGCGGTCCTGCGACCCTTCGACTGAACGTGGGATTACATCATTCTTTGCGATGTATTACTCTCCCCTATCGCTCGGGGGTGTGCTTATATATCTACACATTTCATATGTTTCTTTCGTACACGTGCATCATTAGTATAGTGGGGCCAATCACAGCTGTTTGCACCCGGCGGCCAAGAGGTTACCTAAATCAATCCTACTCTTGGCTTTTCTGAAGAACACCGTGTGCAACTCTATTCTGGCATGATCTGTGGGGCGACACATATTAATCATTGACTTCTGTTTTATTTTATAGGTAGAGATTATTGCAAAATGTTAAACTTTTTAGAATATTTACGTACAAGTGTTTAAGTTTATAATTTTGCTATTGCAAAAATTTAAAATAACCCGAGTTGTTATATTAGGATTTCTTGTGTTTGCATTACATTTCTGAAGGGACTCCATCCACTCAAATAAATAGATCTTTAATACTACCAAAACACCTTTTCTCCAAGATTTTGGAACAGAGAATGTATTTGGAGAATATAAGTATTTCTCTAAGTAAATAACAGAAAAAAAGTGGATATGTTGGCAGAATGAAAACACGCTTCTAAGATTTACACATTCTGAACTAAAATCAAATATTGCTATCTTCTTCAAATAAAAAGATTAATTTCCTTATTTAGCTTTCTACAAAGTCAAATACATGTGAGTTTATAGGAGATTATGATACTATTTAGAAGTTATAAAATCTAGAAAATTAAAATCCATTGCTTTATAAACTGGACTACAACCTATGCTAACTAAAATATAATCCGGTTCTGATTGAAGCCATATGACTGGGAATAATTGAAAAAAAATGAGCCAATCTTCATAAGTGTTTAATGGTCTATACACAAAAAAACAAAGGTTGCGGAAAATCGGGAACGTAAATTTAATTGGGGGAATGATGCCTTACAGTCTACTGGTATTAAATCCTATTTAAGGAATAAGAAAAATAATCCAAATCGATCGTTCTACTGAGGTTGAATTACAATACACCAGGATTAATTGAGGTTTTTTTTAGCATTTATCTCGGGTTTATTATTATATCAAAAGCAGCTTAACTTTCTCCGCAGATAAACACACATCCGTTCGACGTTATTTTAAGTCCTTTTATTTATTTTCATCTAAAGTCATTGTCATTTTAAAATAATCGAATATACAGTAATCGCTATTGATAATATTTTACCCTTTTTTGCAGTTAAATTATCACATTCAACTACAAAATAATTTATTTTAAAAATGTTATCATTCTTTTTCTTTATTTGTACTGCGATTGTTTTCTCTCTCTATATATATATATTTTTTTTTGCAAAATGATCATTTGGCAATGAATCTAAATGTTCAATTCTCTGTTTTAAAATTAGGTGTTAGAACATAGAAATCTGGTCCAAAAAGTAACATCTGCTTATTAGAAAACAATTTCAAAATATACTAAATAAATCAAAAATTTTAGAAAAAATATGCTGTGAAAAGTTTATTTTAAAAAGTGTATATTAGCAAATATCTGAGGAATGAATAATGCGGAAAGTGTAGGTATCCTTAAATAAGTAGCCTTCCAACCGCCGAGTTCAGAAAAAAACAAACCCGGACGAAACATACCCTGATTTGCTAGACTCCAGCAGAGTTAGCCATGCAATGACACACCTATGAGTTGAGTGGGTGGCCTGTCAGATATAACAAACGCAAATGTAAGATCTGCGTTGAGAGAAGAGATCGAGACACGGGTGTGGCACACACGTACATTCTCTGGCCAATGAAAGCTGATGATGGGAAAAGTTGAATATAATTTAATATTGAGTATGAGATGATTCGTGCAATCATTTTTCACAACAACAATGTCATTATATGTACACACAGACATACACACACTCGCATACACAGACACACATGAATATTTAGTCTAGGAGAAGGACAACTCTGAATTCAAAACCTGCGGAGGGTCGTTTGGCAACCTTGTGGCATTCGGTGCACCAGGTTTCTGTATTCGTCCCTTCAAAAAGTGTGGATGGTCCTGCACGAGGCCTTCACCACTATAATCAAATCTCATGTGCCGGTGTCGGGCTGTCGATTTCCTGGAAACTGATCTGCTTGACCCTCATATGTCGAATCTCGACGGGAGGGTCGATTATTATATATATATATATATAAGCAAGTGTAAATGGATATAAATCCGACAGAATGAAGAAATTTTGAAAAAGCAAACAAAAATTTAACTACATTTAAGGATTTTTGTTTGTTTTTTCAAAATTTCTTCATATATATATATATATATATAATAATATATATATATATGTTGTGTGTGTATTTAGGCAGCATTCTTTTCATATTGCATGATTCATTAAATAAGATAGATGGTAATTTTTGTTTTAGAATGGTTATGCAGACATTGCAGAAATGGTAGTTAGTTTTGTTTGCATGGAAGATTGCTATGAACGATAGGTTCGTGCATATGAAACGCAGGATGCAAATATCTCATTGCGGTTCATGACATCACTCTCACGTGGTCATGTATGATGTCATGAACCGCAATATAAAAAAATAAACAAAATTGTCTATATTATTAAGTGAATCATGCATTAAGGAATATATATATATATATATATATATATATATATATATATATATATATATATATATATATATATATATAATATATGAAAATATATAGAAAATAGGAAGGAACTGGTTAGGTAAATAATCCAAAGTCCCTTAGTATTTTAGTTATTATTTTTAAAAAAATAGTGCTCGATACAAAGTAGAGCATAAGTTATTCAAAAAAATTTCGCTTGAAGATGGAACAGAGCTTATTTTAACTCAATTTAATTTAAATAATTATATTGAAGTTTTCGGCTCTTGTTTTGAAACATGGGACTTCTTATGTCGCGATTTGGAATCATATTTTTTAAATAAAATTAATTATATATATATATATATATATATATATATATATATATATATATATATGCATACGTGTGTTAAAAATGTATATTGAGTGATTAAAGTGATGAATGTAAGCAATAGAACGTATGTAAATAAAAATATAAAACTGTACACTAAGGTCAACACAGAGCATGATTATATATTACCTGTCAGTTTATCGCCGTAAGTTTTCATCATACGACAATCTACTCCGCTTGATGTGGGCTAAAGAATAGTAGATTATGCTTTGATGTTTAAGGTGTCAAAGATACGACCAGTATTTTTCTACATCCACACACTATCTATCTATCTATCTATCTATCTATCTATCTATCTATCTATCTATCTACATTAATGTAATATTTATGGAACGACCAGTCTTTTAAACTTTTTTTTGAATATAACAAGGAAAATTTAATTAAATTGGTATTTGATTTTCCAGCATTCATATATTTTACATTTGGTGGAAGCAAGGGAATGCAAAAATGTTCCGTATTCTCCGTTGTCCCAAGCGCTTTCGGCCAATTCTTTCGCCATTTTCGAGGTGGGATTATTCTTGGGTGTTGTTAATTTTGGTTCATGTCTGACTGTATAGGATATCTTTTTGTTGTTTTGAAAACTAGTAGAAGCGTTTATTCCCAATTTCGCCTGTTGAGCGCGACTAGAATTCAAGTGAGCATCTTTCCATTTCATTTACAAAACATTCAACACCCGTTACCACTGTTTAATAAGATGAAGTTGATAGTGGGAGCAAGATGTTTTTATATACAGAGCCTTTCATATAGCAACATTCTCAGGTAATTTGATTTTTATAGAAATTTTAAGATTTCGACCAGAATTATCCTTAAAGAATCGTGGGTGGCTACATGATTTTTGTAGCACTTTCATCTGATAAGTGACATGTGTGGCGTCTACTCAAGCAGTTCTAAGTGATTTATGACAAGAAACACAGGCTTGAACTAGCCAGTTAAATCAATAGTTGATATATATATATATAGATATATCAACTATATATTTAAGTTACGAAGAACTTGGTAAACCGAATGGGTAATTCCAAGGAGGATGAAATATTTATTATTTATATCTTTTTTATATCTACATTAATGTAGATAGATAGATAGATAGATAGATAGATAGATAGATAGATAGTGTGTGGATGTAGAAAAATACTTGTCGTATCTTTGACACCTTAAACATCAAAGCATAATCTACTATTCTTTAGCCCACATCAATATATTTAATATTTATTTATATATATCAAGCATTGAAATCTATCTTTTACATAATTTTGTTAAAACAAAATTACAACCTCTTTCGATTCACTTCCCTCTCCCCCTCTCTCTTTGCCGTAACACTCATTTAGATATATCTGTATTACTGTCGTCTGTCTCCTCTCTCTTTTCCATTTTTCCTTTTCTTTTGTTCTCACTCCCCTCCCATTCCTATATATCATTTCCCTTAAGTTAACCATCTAAATAGGTCACGATTAGGTCACTCCTCCTACCCCAATATAAAATATGCTTAAAAGAAATATGAAATTAACCCCTCCCTATACGCTACCTTGTCTAGTTAACTACAACTATCACCCTCCCTGTTAAATTACAAAAATTACACTACCCATCAATTTCTAATCCCATTTTTTCTTTCATTTCGTTGTTGGAATTGTTACCTGATGATCCGGAGTCCTTTAAAAAGGATTTTGGTGAAATAAATTATTGTAATGATACCTTAAAGTGGTCTGTTTTTCATTAAATATATATATATATATATATATATATATATATATATATATATATATATATATATATATATATATAACCTTTATCACCTCATGCAAGGCAATAAAGCCACTAAGACACACAGTCTTACAGGGTATGGAATAAATAGGAGCAAAAACATTAATAATGAATAGGGAGATAAATGAGTATACAGAACAAGAGACTATACAGACATTGCATTTAAATTCTTGCAGATTAAGGTTGGCTGAAAAGCATGGAGCCAGGGGGGGAGTTACACAAACGAGAAGTACGAGAAAAGAAACTGTTAGCATAGAACTAAATTCCAAAAGTCTAGGTAGCATAACGAAGAACACATCCGAACAATAATTAATTTACACCGACAAGTCTGTCTATTTAACATTTTGTATTGTCTTTCCAACTCACGGCTGAATAAAAAATCATAAACTGTCAAAAGGTCTGAGTTAATTTTAATGCATTCGAGTCCTTTAATCAACGTTAATTCTAATCCCAGCATTATAAAACGCTGGAATTTGTCAAAAACAGAGTGAATAAATTCATCATTCGCAATAGTTTATAATGACTGCAGTGACAGTCGTGCGTACGAAAATGTATCAAAAAAGAATTTTGAGCAGATTAACATGTGTAATACATCGGGCGAATATTTGAAGACAAAAAGTTAAAGAAACTTTTTGTTGGTATTTAATAATATATGTGTGTATGCGTGTGTTCGTGTGTGAAAATTTCTCCAATTTAACCAGTAGAGAAGACAATATTTATGAATAAAAATGACAATAGGAAAACAATTAATTGCTGACACATTTCGTCCAATGTGAACTTTATCAACACAGATATGATGACAACATTTCTCCACACCTGACAAATATTGACGTTATTTTCAGGTAACAATATGAAAATAGCGTTTCTCTACATTCCAGGTGCTAGGAACAATCTGTTTATTTTTGTTTTTATTAGTTACCGTGTTCATTTAAATTAATTTTCCTGTTTTGATTTGATAAAGTCCACATTGGACGAAACGCGTCAGCAATTACTAGTTTTCCTATTGCCATTTTTATTCATATATATATATATATATATATATATATATATATATATATATATATATATATGTAATAATCCGAAGAAGATATAAATCCATAGGGCACAATGTAAAAAACAGAGCAAATAATTATTACTATGAAAAACGAAATATATATATATATATATATATATATATATATATATATATATATATATATATATGTGTGTGTGTGTGTGTGTGTGTGTGTGTGTGTGGTTCGATGGATAAATTAATTGTTGTCTAAACTACGCAAAAAATGAAAATAATACTGACATCTTATTTTAACATATATTAACCAAAATTGCACAAAAAATCTTGAAAAATCGAAAAGTAAATTTATTCAATAAAATCAACATTGCCACAGTCTCTAGACGACTTCGGAATCTCCTGCATCTACTCTCGATATTCTCTTTGATTACGTTGGTCTTTCGCTTAACTGCCACCCGCATATATTAATCAAGGGGTTGCAGTCTGGGAATTAATTGTCCAGATGTATGTGGTTATGTCGTCACAGAATTTTTCAAACAGTCATGACAGGATTCGCCTGCTTGTATAACATGGTTCAGAGTCCTGTTACCAGATATTTTCTTCCATGAGCCACACTATTCATCGCGGCCAGCTCTAAATCCTCAAGGCTCTTGATGTAGGACTCCGTGTTGAGTTTGAGGCCCTGTGGAAAGATGAATGGAGGTATAACGTCGCCATTACTAATAATCAATCAAAACACCATGATGTTGAGTGGATATGTCATCCAACTCTTTCTAAATCCTCTGAGCTGTCTTCAGATTGACACCCAACCACTTCCGGGTGCGAATGTCAGGCAGTGCAGCAAGCCGTTTCCAAGTTTCTAGCGGAGTGGATTGTGTCATGATGCTCGTTTTTTCACACAGAAAATGCCAAACTGACCCTACTATATGATGCAGTCAACAAAATGAAAAATAAACAACCCTACATGCACATTAAAAATGGCAACAATTTCCATCATATATATATATATATATATATATATATATATATATATATATATATATTTTGAAGGTCTGATGAATTGGAGCCATCTTTACGACCCTAGTGAGAAAAATATAACCTCATGAAATTTTAGTGTTCGTGACTTTTACAATAATTATTGTTCTGTCTCTGACACAGAGCTCTCACTGGATTTATATCCTTTGGGAAATATCCATACTGATCACTAATATTATATATATATATATATATATATATATATATATATATATATATATATATATATAAATGATAATAATATATATATATATATATATATGTGTGTATGTATGTATGCATGTATGTGTGTGTTTGTAAGAAATAACATAACGCTGGGTTATAAACAAATTAGAAGATAACTGATACATGTAATGGATATGGAAATGACGATATCTTTTCTAATTAAGTTACGGGAGAAAGGAATGAGAAAGGGAGAAAGCAGTTAAAAAAGATATTAAATATATAAGTATGAGTGAAACAAACACAAAATTAGAGACAAGAAAGTTCCAAAGAAAAGAATTAACGAAAAGGGGGGAAGAAAATAAGCAGATCAGAAATAGAGAAAAAATAAATAAACCATGAAGAGATAAATGAAACAAAGAACTCGAGGTTATAAAGTTAGAAGAAAAAGACAAAGGATATTAAAAATTATGGACGAGGTGGGATTAAATATGAAAGGGAAAAAAATAAGAAAGGCATACGGAGAAAAGCAATGAGGTAAAAAGAAATAGGAAAGGGAGGAAGCCTGAGACTAGAAAGTTAGAAAAAAAACAGGTAAAAAGCGTAAGAAATATGAAAGACAGAAAAGAAATAAAGGCTATATAGAGACTAGAAAGAGAAAAACTAAAACCACAACCAATGGAGGAAGAAGCAAATAAATAAGAAATAGAGGTAGAAAATAAACAGGCAAGAAAGGGGGAAATAAACAGGGAAGAGAAAAAAAAAGAAATAAGAAAGAGAGAAAGAAAGAATGACGAGCACGGGAGAAAGAAAGAAAGGAACGACAAAGAAATAAAGACAAGAACAAGAGAAAGAAATAAAGAGACGTTAAATTGAGAAGGGTATGAACGAGATCTGAAAGAGAGAAATAAAGAGACAAGTAATGGAGAGAAATAAAGACGAGGAAGTGAGGAAGAAAATGAGACGAGAAAGAAAGGGGGAAAATAAAGAAAAAAAGAAAGAAGCAACGAAACAAAGAAGAAACACAAGCAAATGAATAAGAAAGAGACACAAAGAGGGTTGACTACCGACAAGAATGCGAGGAAAGAATAAAGATGCAAGAAATGGAGAAAGGCAATCAAGAGAAAAAAAAAAAGGTCGGGGAAATAAATAACGGAATGAAGGAAATAAAAATACAAATTAAGGAAATAAATTTATACATAGAAAATACAGCACAAAGCGTATGTAGTTATCAACGTTAAGAAATACGAGAAAAATAAGAACAAGGAAAGACAATCCATGTAGATAGAATAAAGCAATTTTAGCTAATGATTCGGATGAAAAATATCTTTATATACAAAAAGAAAACAAGTTTGGATACAGTAGAAAATGAATTGAAAAGGACAATGTGTATGGTCGCCATAGTGTCATGAGATCACGTTGCTGCAGTCGATATTGATATATATATATTTTTATTTGATTTCTTTTCGTTCTTTCCTTGTGCCTTCATTAGAAGAATCGAGTTTCCCGATATCGGTTTGAATAAAAAAAAGAAAAAAAAAAGAGAAAAGACATCGGTAACCAGAATGAATAGCTTTAATCGGCGGAGGTTGTTCCGTTACGTAGGACTTGTAACCAAATCTGGACGGGCAATCTTTACGTAGGGTAATAACAAAAAACGTAAATACCTTCATTTTTTTAGATAAATCACGAAAGAAAATTTGATCCTTTACTAAATAGCAATACCATTTATTTAATAAAATATCCCGCTCAGTATAAGGGAAAAGAACCGCTCAATGAACCGGTTCTTGAATGTGTTGTATGGACGTAAGAGGCGGAAGTATGTGCAGCTTATGAGGATATGTATGATAAACAACAGTTAAACTTAGAACTGAGGTTTAAGATTTCAGTGATTAGGGGAGTAACCTCTCGGGAATTCCTTCCTCAAATTAGCCGTTCTCTGAAATAATATTTATGAGTTAAACTTCCTTTTTACCATCGGAATACGAAATCAATGAGTACGTGTGGAACGAAAGATTATAGTTTACCTGAACATTTTTTAATCATTTCATTAAAAGCAAGGCAATAAAGCCAATAAGACGCAAGGGATTTCTGAGTGTTAGAGAATATGAAAAAAATAAATTGTAAATAGAAAAAAATAAAAGAACTGGAATTAAGGAGACAAGATAACGACTTGCATTTAAATTTTTAAAGATCAATGTTGACTGGAAAGCAAGAAGACGGAAAGATTTCCACAAGTTAGAAATCTGACTGAAGAAACTGTTAGCATAGAACCTACGGTTACATCTAACCATTTCAACAGTAAAAGGGTGGGAGCTTTCTGCCACACTTTACTGCGCTTAAATTTATAGATTCTGTGTACCACAGAGGAAAATTCATCAGAACATTTACTAAGGAATGATTTATAGTAAATGCACAGGAAAGGTACGTTACGTCGATGGGATAGTGACTGAAGCTGAGATGTCAGGTCAAGACCAATAATATTGCAGAGTCTTCTTTGGATTTTTTTTCAAGAATCTCTAAATATATAGCAGGAGCCCCAGACCTGATGTGACAGCAATATTCAAAGCAATGATGAATGAAAGACTAACAAATCTCTGGAGAGAAAAATTGTCTATATCGTCATATAGAACCAACTTTGCTATCAGCAGACATCTCAATTTCCCTTGAAAGTAGCAAGAGAATAGTTATCAGCTTTTTTTAAAAAATAGTTTTATCAATGATTTTTCTACTTTTTGTCCAATCATTTACCTTGAGATCCTTGATAAAATGAAAAAGAAAATCAGCAATATTATCAGTCCTGATCTAGCGGCTCGGATTCAGTCACTTTCCAACCGCCGTAAGGTTACCTCCCTTTGTCTTTTCTGTAAATACTTTCATGTTAATTGTTCAAATGATCTCTTCGCTATGGCACCTATTTTTTTTTTTTTTTCATTTTAAACCCAGCACTAGACCGGCGTCGAGATCCCATCAATTTCCAATTGAGCTGGCTAGCTGCAGACATAAGTTCTATCCTAACAGTTTATTTTCTCTCACTTCTCGCTTGCCGAAAATCCTTCCGTCTCCATGATTTCCAGTCAATTTTAATCTCTAATTATTTAAAAGTAATATTAGTTGCTGTCTACTGTCCTCCTGATTACTCTTTTCTCTTCACGTTCATTATTAATGTTCCTGTTCCTAAGTCGTTCACGTCCGGTAATCCCTTGTGTTTAAGTTGCATTACTGCTTTGCTCGGGGTGATTTCGATTAAAAAATATATCAATATCTTTTTCCATCCTAACTATTTGGAAATAAACAAGGACTGAAATCTTATAAGAAAAACAATATAAGTAGGTTAAATAATAGTGTAGTAAATACATTCTATTTATATAAATATTTTAAGTGTCATGCGTAAAACATTTAGTTCATCTCTAGTCTTTATGTTAAAGGCATTTATCTTTTCCAAATTTTCTTTTACACTTCAAATACCTTGGTGTAGGGAACAGATACAACTAGTTTAGTACTGGAGATATGAAAATTGAACACAGAATAGAATTTCTTTAGACCAACTATATTACAAATCAAAATATTAACCTGTGAAATCGATTCTTGTCTTTAAGTAGCGGTGACCTAGATATTTATTTGGATGTTATGAAAGGCCTCCAACACGTTCAGAAATATCTTATACCTGCTACATGCAACCGTTTTCTCAGATCAATGATAAAAAATGGATTCAAACGAATGAAAATGTGCGTCTTTGAGACGGATGTCCTGTGCAGGTTCTCATAGACTACAGAATCATAAATAGTGAACTTTACCAAATAACAGATCGTCGTCAGCACCGACCCGCACCCGATCATCGGGATCGTCATCCTCTCTCCTTATTCCCTTTCCCAAATCTGGTGGCTGTGATGGAGGTGGCTGCGAAGGGCCATCCTACTCATGAAAAGTCGTGAGCAGGAGTCACAGAGGAGTGTGGTTGGTGGACGCAACTGGGCGAGTCGGATGCTCCTGAGAACATGTCGCAGATCCTCTTTATGTTGATGGTTGGACTCAAACGGTCCTACGCCTGGAAAACTGATCTGTAGCAACGGTTTCCCAGGTCTCGGGGTCGATATTGCCCTCTGTCAGTGGTATTTTCAACTGATCCTTGAAGCATTGTTTTGGGTCCCCGCGTAGCGTCTTGCCACTGGCAAGTTCTCCCCGACAGGATGATACGTGGAAATCGAGTGGGATGCATTCTGGACACGTGCCAAATGTCTCATACCTGATGAATTTCAGCAGTAGCAACAATTAAAATGAATAGTACATCGAACTCGACGTGAAAATAATAACATAATAAATATAAGGACTTTTCACACTACTTTAAAAAATCTGTTAGACAGAACCCCTTCTCCCGTCAGTACTAGAAAGAGAGTTAAAAGTTACTGGACTTGAGAAATCCCTTCCCTGAAAAAAAACTGTTTCAGAATAAGATTTTATAAATTTCTCGCGAAATAAGCACTATCTTCTCGGTGAATGAAGTCGAAATGTTTAATTATAAATGAACGACATATTTCCTCATTAGCATTACCATAAATATATATTTATTTGTGAAATTGAAGTCGGATGTTTGTGTTTGAAAATCCCTGAAACTGAATGTTAATTGTGCATATGCATTTAAACCAAATTTAAAGAGCATAAAAATGGCACGGGATAGAAACTTAAAACTAAACTGAAAAGATAATATGACATACTTAGAGAAAGAATAATTTATAGGAAAGTGATATTTTGATGATATGGATTAGCGATATATATGAAATAAAACAGTAAAAGACAGGAAGTACTGTATTTCAAGATTTTTTTTTACAGTAACTTTTACTCACAACGCACGGGGTCTAGAGAGTTATGTTAAAGGGTAATTTATATGCATATGATGTTAACTCTAGTCTTGAACAAGTTACTATTGATGTGGTCAGGGAATAATCCTCTTGGGAGTCTGTTTCACTAAGTAGTGGTTCGTGGGAAAAAATTGAGTGGAACTGCCGATAACATACGCAGGGAATGTGGATGATTTGCTATTATGTAAGTAGCATGGCGGATCCTAGCCGTGGAGGTCAGACCTGGCTCAACCAAGGAATGTAGTTCATCCGAGTACTTTCCATGCGAGTAGCGATAGAGCTGTGAGAGACTCGCCACATCCCGACTCTGTGTGTGTATGTTTGTGTGTGTGTGTGTGTGTGTGTGTGTGTGAGAGAGAGAGAGAGAGAGAGAGAGAGAGAGAGAGAGAGAGAGAGGAGGGTGGAAAACAATTCTTCTCTGACAAGGACTCGGAGACGCTGTTGAACTCTATCAAGACTGGAAATTGATGACCGGGATATTCCCGTGCATGTATGCCAACCTTACTCCATTTTCGGACTGATCTGGCTTTTATAAAATTGGAGGATACCATAAAGAGTCAATTATTTACTGAAGCGGTACAGGGTGCCGATCATTTGACCTCCATTTTTAGCATGTATAAGAGTTTCACTTGAGTTCGGGTGTGAGTTTGAGGCCCAAAATTCTTTCAAGGTACGGTGACTCTTCGGGGGGGGGCATCCTTTCATCGTGACGGGTGGTAGATCGTTGCCTGATCAACGATGAATATTTTTCTTCCAAAATGTGTTTTTTGGATGTTTGATCAGACTGTTATGCTTGAGAATTTGTTTTTTCTTAAGTCCCGCTTCGTTATTATTATTATAGTCAAGGGTATTGATATATTGTATCGTATATACTAAGAGCACGTGGCCGAGTGGTTAAGATGTTAGCATTCTGACCATTTGTCAGGAAGGAGACTTCCTGATGTTATCGAGATGGAGGGTGGGTAGATCCCAACATATGGTGCCTTTGGAAAGTGCTTGAAAACCACGCCACTGATTGACCCAGGCCTTGCGAGTGAAATTGGGTAGACGGTACTCTTGGACCAGTCGACAGCTGTGCTAGAACGAAGTTACAAGTCATCGTGACTGAGGTGTTGAGCGTGCTGCTCTTGTTCAAATTGATGTTCACGCTAGATAACACGCTCTTTCCCAGACACTGTAACTAGGGTCTGCTCAGCATAGTTGTAGTATAAAACACAGTTGCGCTCTGTAGGTATTGGACAAAAACAAATGTGTCTGAGTAAGCGTCTTCAATATGGATTGGCTAGCCGCCCTAATAGACGGGTATCCTGGAATACGAGTGAACAGCTATACATATATACATGAAAACGACTAGTATCAAAAATAGGTGTAACGTGCAAAAAGAAGTGAGATTTGGAGATTTAAAATTTGTAACTAAGATA